TACGCACCGGGCGAATGGAAAGATTAGTTTCAGCTTCGTTCTCATGGCACGGGTGGCCCTGGATATGAAACTGCGTGCGTCAGAGTCTGCAGAAATCGTGTTATGTCGTGTGCCGAAGAAAAATCGCACTAGAGTCGTGGGAACTTGCTGCAGCACACGAAGAAAATAGACAGCGTCTGTCATCTTGGCTGCAGGTGTCTCTCTCGAAATCGTCATCAGTGGCGACATAGAAAGCTGGAAAGAGGACTATAAGGAGGATTGCCTCCCTCTCTGTTTTTAAAAGCTGAGAGCGAAAGTATAAGCTCACGCGAGAGACCCCGAAACATTGGCACCAAAAGGAGACCATGGTGAAAAAAACGAGCCAGCGGCTGGCAAACCCAAAACCCGAGAAGGAGATGCTAGTGAGCCCCAAACCCAAAAACGAGATGCTGGCTATGATAGCAAACAAATGCCAACCTGAAAGACGGTAGTTGGCACAACCCGAACCCGAAAACGGGACGTCAGTTGGCAAACCCTAAACAAAAAAGAGATGTTGGTGAGCAAACCCCAAAGCATTTGGGCAGATGTTGGCGAGCGAACCCCAGACAGTAACGGTTGGTGAACGAACATCGAGCTGTTCCAAAACTATAACAGGACATGTTGGCGAGCAACCCACAAATTCTGGGAGATGGCAGCTGGTGCGCCCAAGCCCGAAAACGAGATGGCGGTTGGCAAACCCCAAACCACAAGGCCTTGATGTTAGTCAGCAAGCCCCCAACCTTGAAAAAAAAGTTTGTGAGCAAACCCAAACCCTGATGCTGGTGGGCGAAACCCTGATCCTAAAACCGGATGCTGGTGGGCAAGCCCCAAACCAGAAAAGAAGGTGTTGGCGAGCAAGTGTTGGTGAGCAAACCTCCGACCCAGATGTTGGTGAGCACGCACCAAACCCTAAAAATAGAAATGAAACGAATATGTTGGTGAGCAAACCCCAAACCCCGATGCCGGTGAGAAAACCCAAACCCTAAAAGGAGATGTTGGTGAGCAAACCCCAAGCCCGGATGATGGTGAACGAACCCCAGCCCTAAAAGGGGATGCTGGTGAACAAACCCCGAAACTTGATGCTGGTGAGCAAGCCCCAAGCCCTAAAAGCCCCCAACCTTAATGCTGCTGAGCGAACCGCAAACCCTAAAAAGAGATGTTGGCGAGTAATCACCAAACCTTGGTGTTGGCGAGCATAAGCCGAACAGAACCAAAAGCTGATGTTGGTGAGCAAGCCCCAAACCCTAAAAGGAGACATCGGTAAACGTTGGTGAGCAAGCCCCGCACCCTCAAAGAAGATGTTGGTGAGCAAGCCCCAAACCCTGACGTTGATGAGCAAGCCCCAAACCCTGAACAGATCCCTGAAAAGAGCATGTCTTTCACAAACCCCAAACCCTCATGTTCGTGACGTGGGCAAGCCCCAAACCCTGAAAAGGAAATGTCAGTGAGCAAACCCCAAACCTTGATGTGGTGAACCCGTAACCCTAAAACGGGATGTCGGTTAAGAAGCCCCAAACCCTGATGTTGGTGAGCGAACCCCGCCGAACCCTAAAAGGAAATGTTGGTGAGCAAACTCCAATCTTGATGCTGGTGAGCAAGCGCTGAACCCTAAAAGGAGATGTTGGTGAGCACACCCCAAACCCTGATATTGGTGAGCAAACCAAAAGGCCGAAATCTCCATGTGGTAGAGCAAACCCTAAACCCCAAAAGCGATGTTGGCGAGCACACCCCGAACGCTGATGTTGGTGAGCACGCTTGACACCTTGAACAGATCCCGGGAAGAACAGGTCGGCGAGCACGCCCCAAACCCTGATGTTGATGAGCAAGCCCCAAAACCCTAAAAAGGAAATGTTGGTGACCAAAACCCCCAACCCTAATGTTGGTGGGCGAACCCTAACCCTAAAACGGGATCTTGGTGAGATGTTGGCGAGCGAACCCAGAACCCGAAAAGAGGATGTTGGTGAGCAAACCCCAAACCCTGACGTTGATGAGCAAGCCCCAAACCCTAAACGAGGATGTTGGTGAGCAAACCTTAAACCTTGATGTTGGTGGGGCGAACCCGCAACCCTAAAACGGGATGTTGGTAAGAAGCCCCAAACCCTGATGTTGGTGAGCGAACCCCCCCGAACCCTAAAAGGAAATGTTGGTGACCAAACTCCAAATCTTGATGCTGGTGAGCAAGTGCTGAACCCTAAAAGGAGATGTTGGTGAGCAAACCTCAAACCTTGATGTTGGTGGGCGAACCCGACAAACTACAAAGATCCCTGAATCAGCAAACCCCAAAAACTGATGTTGCTGAGCAAGCCCTAAACCCTAAAAGGAGATGTTGGTGAGCAAACCCCAATCCCTGCTGTTGGAGATCTATCCCCAAACCCGAAAGGCTGCATAGTGATGGCACGCCCTAAACTCTTAAACTTGAAACCCTAGTTTCACCCCTGCCGGAATCCACGCTTGCGTCTGACTACGGGCCCGATTCCCGAATTCGCTCGGCTGGTTCCCGACTTGGCCGCACTGTTTCCCGAAACATCATGCCCTGACTTTGTCTGTCCAGTTGGCTCCCTAGTTGCCAAAGCCAAGTTCTCGAACGCTTCCCGGTCAAAGGCCCACATGTTGCTTCTTCCGGCCTCCTTCCTTCTTTGCTCTGCTTTGCTTGGAGCTTCAGGCGCCAGCAGTCGTGACCCTGCACACAGTGCACTACCCCATCCACCATGAGGTTCGGATGGGTTCGACTGTATAGGCTTGGGCGGGTGCCGCTAAAACGGTGTGTTCCCCAGGTCGGGGACCTGCTTGTTCGCAGCAGTGTCTAATCGTGGGATTTGTTGGATCTTGAGCTTCCGGACGTACAAAACAAAGTGTGGCAAACACTCTGTCGCCTGTGAAACAACACAATAGGTTGACCCGAAACCTGCCTTAAGACAAGGCAACGGGAGGGAAAAATAAGCCTTGATTATCGGCCGTGTAGTCCTTATGTCTGCCACGGGCACACTCGGCACACCACTTTGAATGCACGATAAGCTGAACGAGGTCCCCCTGAAAGTACGAATTAAATATGAGGTGAGATGCAGAAGTACGGAACCTACGGCATCACTCGGTCGCCTTTTTTGGTTGGTGCGCAGCTGTGGGTTTCCCCGTCTGCTTGCATGGTTGAAAACTGAGTGGCATAGCGCCGTTGTTCTCTTGCAGGGGCTGCTCGCTGATACTCCCAGTGCTCTTCCTTCCTTCCTTCTCTCTCTCTCTCTCTCTCTCTCTCTCTCGCTCTCTCTCTCTCTCTCTCTCTCTCTTTCTCTCTCTATCTCTCTCTCTCTCGCTGGCTTGCTTGCTTGCTTGTTTGCTTGCCTGCCCCTGCGCTCTCGCGCTACGCTGGTGTCTTTCGTCTGTGTACGCGTGAAACATTCCCTTCTTCAACTCGAACTCTCTCTCTCTCTCTCTCGCTCCTCTATCTTTCACCAGGCTTGAGGGCGCGCCCCCATGTGGGGACGCCTTTCTGTTGGCGGAACGCACTCTCTCTCTCTCTCTCTCTCGCTCTCTCTCTTTTCTTTGCTCCGGGGGAACGTGAGATGAGGCAGTCCCCCTTCCCCACTCATGCGAGCGGCCCCATCCACCATTCTGGTGTGATGGGCTTGGCTGTACGAAAGGTTTGTTTAGGAATTAAGTGGGTGCCCCTTTGTCGAAGCAAACAGACAAACCGAGCATCACAAGAAACTCTCCCTCTGTCTCTTCCGCAAGGGTAGTCGTTCCCCCCCTCACCCGCGCACGGATGTACGCTGAAGTCTCAGTTTCCGGCAGCAACCCTTGACTTGAACAATCCCTGTACTTTATATGCATCCCCCAGCTCCGTGCCTCATCTTGCTGCCCCCCCTCTTAGGGGCTTGCTCGTCAGCTCCGTTTTCGTAGTCTCTTTCTTCTTTCGCCAGGGCTGTGGTTTTGTAGTCTCTTCGCTTCCCTTCACGAGGGTTAGGTCCGAAGACCCGGGCCAAGAGTCTCTCTCTCTCTCTCGCTCCTTATCTCCCTCTACCCGCCCGGCAAAGCCTGCAAACAAGCCGTGCCTGCTTGCAATCCCACGGTTGCGTCTCCAGTGGAAGCTGGATGCAGGCTCCCTTGCAGTGGTCTGTACAATTGGTGTGATCTCCTGTAATAGCGCGAAGCTTTTCTGAGCTGACCGGAAGCCTGCTGAAAAGTTGAGATTGTTTCCGAAGACTCTTGAAGCTTGCTTGTTCGCTTTGGAGCCGAAAGTGCTCCGCAGCATAGCATTGAACGTGCAGTTCCATCTACATCGGCAGTGTTGCGGGTTGTGACTGCTACTCAATCGAAGCTCGAAGGACAATCGATGCTGGTCAACCTAGAGTGAGTAGCTTGAACCATCGCAGCCGGAAGCCCCATGGAAAGTCCTCGGCTGCAGATGCAAGTCGCCTGAAGTTTACAGAAGTAATACAGCATAACTCAGCTTCTGTCAGAGAATAGCTTCGCCAAGAGGCCGAGCCAATGGCCGAGAGCATACCTCGCATGGCCGACCGGGAAAGCTCTTGGCGCCGCTCTGGGCGTGGACGGCAGACCCGAGATGCCCTTGCAACAGAGCATCCCAAGTCTACACTCCGTGACAACACCTATTTGACAAATATGTTAAACTCCGTGCTGGCCGGAGCCATCTCAAGATGCACACATGCGAGTGTGTAGGTCGCGACTGGGCCTTGATACGGTTGCTTCCAGGGTCCAGATCTAGGGTGTCTCGTTCTGCCGCGTTCTGAGTCCAAGTATAAGACCTGGTCTCGCGCTCGAACCGAAGGATGCAGCAATGTGGTAGCTAACATTGCTCGTGCTCACAGAGACGGACAAGCCAACTGGGGAACGAGAAGAAAACGGCGTTTGTCGAAACAATGCTAATTTTTTCGCTTCCATGCCGCAAGCGCGAGGGTATGCCCACGGCGTCTTGTTGACGAGCCATGAGCACAAGATAGCACGAACAAACAAACAAACAAAGCGTCTCAAGTAGGCATGGGCAGCCGCGGATGTGGCTTCAGAACAGGATGCCTCAGCACCAGAACTGTCTGAAGAAATGCAATTCGCCCGTATCTCGCAGGCACTAAGGACTCAAACTTGTCGGTCTGCGAGAAGCTTCAACCCCAGCTCCAGCTGTGCATACAAGGAGCACAAGATTCGCAGAATATGTGCCAAGCTCTGGCTCAATCAGCAATGCCTTCAGTCTTGAGAGTGCGGGCAGTGCGGGCTCCGCAGTCTGCAGCCTACTCTGGACTCTGTCGGCTGCACCTCTCGAGGCTGCCTGGCCTGCGATGGCTTCCAGGCCCTGGCAGGGCAACGCTTAGCTCGGCACTGTGCCAACTGTGCCGACGCACGACACTTCTGCTTTCTGCTTCTCCAGCCGACCGGCGGACCTCGAGGACGTCATGAGAAGTCCACGAGGAGCAGCTAGCCGAAGGCTGTTCCGGGGCTCCTTGATGCCCTGGCGCAGAGATCAGGAATCGAGAGTCATCGAGGGTTTCGCAGGCAGTTTGCCAGGCCCCCGTGCTGGCACTGCCAAGAGCTGCTCACCAGCTAGATTCCGCTTCTTCAGCGTGTCTGTAGGTCTGAGTGGAACGCCTTCGACTCTGGGTGCAAAGACGTTGAATCACAGCGACTTTGGGGTCCCTGTGGGGGCCTCTGTACACGAACCTAACTTCCACATCGTCCCGCGACTTCGGGAGCATGGGCTCGCGATAAGGCTTGGCAAAAGTCTTCGCTTCCTCGGCTGTGGCAGTGGCCATTGTGCGAGAATTGCAAAATTTGCATGGTGACGAATGGTGGTAGAGGAGCATTGACAACTCAAGCAGCTCAAGCACATTCAAGGCACAACGAGACCTCTGCGAATGTCTTCGGGGACTGCATCTTCACTCAGCTGCAGGTCGTAATGGCCCTGGAATGACACGTGACCAGCAAAGTCAGAAAGACGCTTCGGATGCACATGCAAAATGGCTTCACCTTGCGCGGCGTGACCACCGTGATGCTGACCATTCCCTGAGGATGAGCCAGCATACCACTCAAGCAAAAATACGAACAGGCTGCTTGATACGTCCTCCGGAGGTGGAGGGAGCGCCGCAGAAAGCGGGGGGCGTGTTGGCGGCAACAGCCCAGCACTGTGCTGATTCGCACAAGCCTTCGGTAACTGTGCCCCTGACCCTTGCAAGCATGGAAAAGCCTGAAGAATCCTGATCAGAGGGCTGACCAGCCAGTGCATCTGCGCTTGCCTGCACCACGATCTGCGCCTGGCGCGCAGCATTCGCCTTGGAAGGCCCGTTTCATCCAGCCAATTTCTGGGCAAGGCACCTTAAGATTGCTGGGTCAAGGACATCTTTGCGTGCCCGGCACCAGGTGCCAGGGGAGCCATCAGTCATGACTACTAGAAGCTTACGTGGTCTGCAAATACTTATTCTTGCATATACCAACCAAAACAACACCCTTTCTGGTGGATTTGTACCTGCACGACATTGGACAAGCATTGTCAGAGTGCTTTCTTGTGCTGCGCCGGCCAGGCGTTCCTCATTCATGTAACCTTCTGCAAAAGACATCCAGAGAAATCCCTGGAAGAACTCCAGCAGACCCGATCCTAAAGCTTCAAAGAAGTGTGTTCTTCGATGCGAGTTAAGCCAAACGTCCAGGCTCGCCACGTTTCATGTTTGACATCGCCGGTCTGTAGAACTGGAACTATCGTAGGTCATGCACTCCCAGACCGACTGATGCTCAAGAACCTCTGGCCGTGAAACTACAGATCCTTGCTGCGGCTGTGGCGACTGTGGTTTGGAGTCCAGAGCGGTCCTTTTGGGCTGGTGTCGGAGGTGAATGCGCTTTGGCCTCTCGTGACCAGCTTCTTTCTGGAAGCGTGCTGTCGTTCAGCCTCACCACGTTGCATGGTCAGGCTCTTGGGCAAGACAGTGACATGTTCAGGATTGCACTCGCAAGTCATCCACTTCGCGCATCTTTTGCCAAGCAGCGGAAGCCAGGCGCCTGGACGGGAGACTGCCAGAAAACCCTCCCAGAGACTCGGAACCCGGCCTCTTGGACCCTCCCGGCACTAAGGAAATCAAAAAGCCTCGCTTCTTTGGCACAAAGGCTTCCGGCTCCTCCAAAACTGCGCACCACAATGCACCGTTACCTGCACTGCCAGTAGGTCCTCTGCTTCGGGCGAGGATTCCTGCGACAGAAGCGCAAACTCAATGTGGACATGCCGGATCCTCACAGAAGCTGACCACACAGACCTGAAAGGCAAACTCAAAGCTTCACTCCACATCCACCGAGACCTGCGTTGTCATGGCAGAGGGGCTTCGTCTGGCGGTGGTTTGAAAGACTAATGAGCGCTGCACCTCGACAGTGTCGAGCTCCGCCTGGCAAAGAAGCGAGTCATTGCAGTTGAAAGACCGAAAGACCGATGCACCTGCATCGTTAAATTCCAAGAAGTTGCCACTTTTAGGTCGGGCAGAAACACTTGCCACAGTGCAAAACTCCTAACAGACAAGTCGTACCCGCAGACAGTCAAAAGGAATTTTGGTCTCGAGAAACCGGCCTTGCCTCCATGAAGGTCCATGATGACTCGGCTGCATGAAAAGACGGCGATCCTGCCTCCGTTCTGTAGGACACAGATTGCAATGATTTGCGATGGCTGACACACGTGTTTTAGGCCATGTCGCGCCTTTGCTCCTGTGCCTTTGCCTGCTTTGGCTTCGGCGTCACCTGTCGGAGCTCCCTTGAACTTTGCCTACCTCCAGGCTCACCCTCCGGGCCTCGAGGGCTAGCTCGTTGTGGCTGTCGCTTTCCTCAAGTCAAACTTCGCTCAGAAAGCCCTTAGAGTTATTCCAAGAGCACTTGCAAATGATTCCAAGGCACCCTTGCCATAGCTCGACGTGCTCCCTGCAGCAATCAACGTGCTTATTCAGCAGACATGGCCTGTCGATGTCATGTCACGCAAGTGAGCTGGCGGAAGCTCGGCCTGAGTTGGCGTGACCGGCTGACATCTTGCCTGGCGCATTTTGACGGCAGTAAAAACGTTGTTGTAGCTACACACCCTGTCTTCGTCGAAGCCGCTCCGGGCCTGTGCTTTTCGCAGCTACCTGAAGAACTGCGTCAAGCAAGCTAAGCAGCCAAGCGCTTCTCGAACTGCCGGCAACAGTTCTATACCCACATGACGCCATGAGACGTCTCGCAGAGCACGGCTAAGCACTTGAATGACTAGTCCTGCCACGGCGCAGCGCTTCCTCCTTTGGATTTCTGTCTGCCCTTTCCGACATCCTCCAACTGGGTCTTTCCGCGGCCCTTGTAAATACCTGCGGTGTGGAAAGGCAGACATCTTGACCGCTAAACCCGCCTATGAGTATCCTGGAAGCCATCATCAGAAGTGCCTTTTCGGCCTTTCCCAGCATCTGCAAACTTGCCCTTTCCCTTTCGGTCAAAGCCACCTGCATAAGCTGAGTGTCAACAAGCAGCGGAGCACTGAGGTAGAGAAGAGCATCAGAAGCCTTTGGTTCCCTTGTTGGCCAGCTCTTCCGGTGACGGCGCAACGACAGTCTGGTAAGACCGGACACGCACAGGATCCCGTCGCACGTGTGCAGGACAAGTCCAACAAAGGACCTTGCCTTGTCTCCAGTTACATCCTCCACTGTGTATCTTCCCGGACCGATTCCTTGAACGACCCGAAACCTCAAAAGTCGAGGATTCTCGCCGTTCGAACAGCTACTTGTGGCCTCAGTGTCGAAAGGATGAGGTCCGCACTGGTCTGACCGTGATAGAAGAAAGCGGATGTAGGAGCCCAGGTGCGGCTGCCATTCACAGCACAAGCCGACTGAAATCCGCACAAGAACACCCAGCTCACACCACACTCTGGCCTTGAAAAGCTCATCCCAATCCTACGCTCCAGATCCGAAGCACGAGTTTGTTGCAGTGAACGGCTCAGTCCAGTCCTCTGGAATGAAGGGGCGGCCGTCTGATTGTGCTCCAGGTTTTCTAATGCCTTTCTTGATGCGACAGATGGCCTCGATCGCTTGCATCTGGTCAGGATAATATCACGGGCTCAACCTGTACAGATCTGAGACCGCAGCTTTGCAGGCCAGGTCACGCAAAGCAATCTCTGCCCGCCGTTTCACTATGAAAGGTTGACCTGTTGTCAAGGCACAGAAGTCGAGTGGGCGAACTGGCTCTGACCACATGCAATGTCGAATGCACGATGATGGCCCGTGACCTGAAGTTGAAGCAGCATCTTCAAGCCTCAGTGCACAGACACGTCCTAATGCGATCTGCACTACACTACACATTGTTCCTGGCCAGGCCCGATACGGGGTTGGCCTCTCTTCATCAGTTTCCTGGCGAAAGTGTCTGGGCTTTGAAAACGAAGACGGTAGTAGCAGCTTCACTCACTGACCAAAGCCGCTGTCAGCCACCTCTTCGACCTCCACTTCAATCTCGACTTCCTCAGTTTCTTCCGCTCCTTCGCCGTCACTGGCCTTGCCTTCCGAAATCCACCTGGGCAAGAGAAGCAATCTCATGTACGGACGGCTCCTTCGAGATATTCTGAATTGAGGCTAGAATGCAGCATTCATCTGCCGCCTGGGGTGTCCTGTTTGTTGTGCGAGCAGAGACGTTCCAGGAGTGATGCCCATCAGCTCTGCCTGTTGCAGAATGCTGCTTCCAGTACTAACGCCGTGCGCTTTATCTCTGCTTTGCATCCTTCTCTCTCACAGACTTGGGTTGCATGCGACGCAAGGCACCTGGTGTCGGACACGAACTTGATCCAGCTTCCTGGAGTTGGGATTCGACCTCGGCAGGGAAGCAGCTGAAGCAGCGGTACACATGGGCACACGGGCATGGAAGCAAGCGTTTGCCTGCGCGATCCCATGCACTGCCGTCTTGGATCGCTGCAACAGGCCCGTCGTGCGGAACGAATTGCTTGAATTTGACCTTGGGATATGGAAAAGTCGTATTGTCAAAGATGCAAATCGTGCTCGAGACTCGGGGACACGCGGGCCAGAAAAAGACATTGTGGGGGTCACATCGGCAACCATGCTGCATGATTTATGAAGTGGGCAAACTATTCACCATGATTTCCGAAAAATGAAGCGTTGAAGCCGGTGAAACCTACCAGCCCTGCAGATGCGATGCATGATTGATTGTGCTTGTGGCCGGTGGACATCTTGACACGATCGTCAGGTTCACAACTATTCGTGTCACTTCAAACTCAATGGGCTAACAGTTCAAGCCAAAGCATGCAAAAACTAACCAAGGCCCAAACGTGGCAATGGTACCAATGTTGCAATCAAACCAAGGTCTTTCCACGGCAATTCTGGTTATATGATCCACTCACATGTAATCTTTAAACAAATGGAGCTTCGAATGTAAAGCTGTTTTGAAGGAAGAATGCTTTCAGCAGTGTCCTCATATTCCTTCCAAGCTCACAGGGCCAAACGAAAGGTGCGTGTTGACAGCATACGAGGCTCCGACCCCCATCGTATGCAAGATGCACAAGTTTGGGGTGGTGTTTCAGCTCAGTAAAGCACCCGTTCAGGGTTGGATAGAGAGACAGAGGTCCAGCTGAGATTTGAGAGCCCCAACCGCCTGCACACTCTTTGTCAAATGTTCACCAGCAAAGGGTCATGCTTTCTCTAATGTTCACCTGCGAAAGGTCATGCGTCGTCCTTCCAATCATCGAGCGCATGAGTCGGGTTAACCTTTCATGACGAATGACGATAACAATACAATTGTGTACTTAAAATATTTTGGGCTTCAAATACCCTCACATATTGCAAATTAAATTCATGTCTGTCGCATGATGTGTGTTTACCATCGCTTCCTTCATTCACATGTTATGCATTTAAACAGCATTGGTTATGGCAACTGCATATCAAAATGCACGTAATTGGGAACCTCCATTCCATATGCATGTCTGCATTGCTCCTACATGACGGTTGTGGTGAAAATTCATCTTTTCATCATGTGGTAGCTTCCGAACGTTAATTTTACGACGGATGGGTGTCCCTATGTCGTATCGCGCTGTTTGCCCTGCCTGTGTCATGTCCCTCCTTCTTGCACTCGGCTCGGATATGGATCCCGTTGCGAATACTCGTTGTGTATGATGGATATCTGAGGCCATCTTGTGCTGCAGGTGACAAGCCAACTTCAAGCGTTGAGGGCGCATGGAAGGTTTTATTGACGACACACGCATAACCCAATCACCTGATGTTCAGAACTGCTTCAAAAATCCCGAGAACAGGATGCCAGCTTTGCCTCTGTTTCATCTACACATTGTCTGACACGCAGACTAGGTTTCGTCTGAAACTTTTTGCGGCTTGATTTTTTTGGCCGTTGAACATGAAAAACCTTGGAGTCTCTTTCAATTTCGAGCAATAAAAGCTGTTAACAGCGCAAAAAGACCAAAGCATGAACAAATTTGCGCGTTCAATCTGTCGGTGTAACCACAACTTCATCCAGTGAAATCGACGAAAATCACGCTCACTCAACGATAATCTTGGATGTTTTTCAATCGTCACGATCATCTGCGTTAGCGCATATGCACTCAGCCACTGTCTAAGTGTCTGCATGTTAGAGTAAATGAAAGAAGCTCTCATACATGCACATGCAAATTTATGCAGAAGCACGTGAGCATAGGTTTTTGCAGGGTGTTCGAACCCTGGGTTCGAACACCTTGGGAAGGGGTCCGGGGGGGGGGGGGAACATAACACCTGAACTTAGGGTTGAACTCGGAGTTCGAACACTTGGAACCCCGTGTTGAACCCAGGGTTCGAACACCCTGCCTGGGGGTGTTCGAACCCCGGGTTCGAATACCAGTGTTCGAACCCCGGGTTCGAACACCCTGCCTGGGGGTGTTCGAACCGCGGGTTCGAACACCCTGCCTGGGGGTGTTCGAACCCTGGGTTCGAACACCCCAGCTCGAACACCAGTGTTCGAACCGGAACTCAAAAACACAGTGTTCGAAGCCTAGATTCGAACACCAGTGTTCGAACCTCGAGTTCGAACACTGGTGTTCGAACACTGGTCTGTACAACGCTTTTACAAACACAAAAAAGAAGAGAAGCCACACGAAATCGCTTTATGGGGGCTTTTGCGAAGAAAAGAATAAGAGAAGGAACAAACACAACAGAAGAGAAGCACACGAAATCGCTTTATGATGGCTTTTTGCTCAGAAAAGAAAAGAAAAGAAGGGAACATTCACCAGTGTTTGAACCTCGAGTTCAAACACTGGTGTTCGAACCCTAAGTTCGAACACCAGTGTTCGAACCTCAAATTCAAATACTGGTGTTCGAACACCAGTGTTCGAACCCGGAGTTCAAACACTGGTGTTCGAACCCGACCCAAAGTTTGCCTGAAGTGTTCGAACCCGGAGTTCAAACACTAGTGTTCGAACCCTAGGTTGGAACACCAACGTTGGAACACCAGTGTTCGAACTCCGGGTTCGAACACCGGCCTCAACGCTCTTACAAACACAAAAAAGAAGAGAAGCCACACGAAATCGCTTTATGGGTGCTTTTCGCGAAGAAAAGAATAAGAGAAGGAACAAACACAACAGAAGAGAAGCACACGAAATCGCTTTATGGGGGCTTTTTGCTAAGCTCGGAAAAATCCAAAAACTTCCAATCGCGTACTCAAGAATGTTATTCAAGAGGAAAAGTCGGCATCAGAAATATGCAACGGCGAGACTCCATAGATATAGATATGAAATGATTCCAATCATACTCAATCACTCGCACAGTGGACTCTTTTTGCTCGGGGCGAACCGGGCTGCCCGATCCAGGCTCGGGCTAGGCGCGTTCTCACGTTCGTGAGAGTTGAAGCAACTTCGGGCGAAGCTAAAGTCACGAGAGTCAGCGACAGAAAGTCGCCGCCTCAACCGAGGCGTTAGTCTCCGGAGGTTGGCAGAAAATTGAAAGTTCTCCTTGGGAGCACAAGTCGGCGCTGCAAGCCGAAGCAATGATGTCTCGACAGGGTGTGGTGGGTGGGTGTCGAGACGGTTTGGCGGTCCCGCCCCCCCACCACTTGAGATGAATGTCACAGATAAGCCAAGCATTCAGAATGGCACGACACAAGAATTGGTCACACCAAAATACCGGTGCTTAGGGTGAGGTAAAGCACACGGGATAGGGATTAGGGTACCTTTTGGATTTTTGCAAGCTCGCCACATGTGGCTCGCCTCGCACGCAAAAAGGGGTTGGTAGACAAGTCTACAACTGATCTTTTTGCTAAGCTCGGAAAAATCCAAAAACTTCCAATCGCGTACTCAAGAATGTTATTCAAGAGGAAAAGTCGGCATCAGAAATATGCAACGGCGAGACTCCATAAATATAGATATGAAATGATTCCAATCATACTCAATCACTCGCACAGTGGACTCTTTTTGCTCGGGGCGAACCGGGCTGCCCGATCCCCCCAAGCAGTGCAGTACGGGAGCCCCCATTGATTACAAGTCGACAAGTTTTGTACCGGTAAGCGGGCAATCACAAACCACACGCAATGCCCCAGACTTGACAAGCTCATCCAGCTCGCCTCTTGACGGCGCATCGGCTGGGTTCGAAGCAGATGGCACACGAGCCCACCAAGCCCACGTGTGAGCATGCATCTCTAAGGACTCCCACATCAGCAAAATATCTCGCATCGGTTTGCTAGAAGACGTACCCTTGATGTAGCTAAGTAGCACACCGTCGTTATCGATGAAGTACACACAATATCGTCCCGACAGTGACTGATGAAAGACCTTTCTCGCTGTGAGCACGGCGTAAGCCTCGACTGGACCTATGATGTGCTGAAGGTCCCGGGACCAAGTCGAGACGACACTGTTGCACACATGGCAAGCAAAGTACTTCGGTTGTTGTTCTCGCGGGTCAAGCATGATTCCCCCTACTGTGTGGACAGATCCTTCGCTGGCGCCATCGGTAAAGACGAGAATCGGTTTCGGGGGAACCGAACAGGGCACAACCCTAGGAGCACCAAAGGACAGTCGACTGACCAAGAAATCAAAGGCCCTGACCTCCTGCTCGCCAAGACGGAACTTGTCGGCGTGCTTAGCCGACGAGGCTCGCAACTCGGCCAAAGCCAATTTGCCGGTACGTCCCATGATTTGTGAATCTGAGAACTGAATCCTGCCAGCGACACGGGCGAAATCTCTCTGCCGTACGACACCAGCCTTAATGCATCCTTGTATGACCTCACACACCTCGCTCGCACGACCTTCTTTGTTGCGAACACGGATGATCGCATCGGGCGCTGAGCTGCAGTCTACTTCAACGCCCAACATCGAACCAACCGAAGAGAAAGGGGCCAACTTTTCAAGGGAAGCACTAAACCCTAACAGCCGGGACAGGAGCATCATTGTCGACATGGTGGAATCCTTAAGCAGTGTTGGCGTCATGACTGGGTAGTCGTCATAAAAATTACTCCACCACAAGTGAAGTTCAAGGCCGATCCTCCAAAACAACCGAGACATTCGATTGAAGTGAACCACCGACGCTGTGCTGCCGAAAGGTAGCGCCTTGGACTCGAACAAACCCACGTCAAGACTACTCGGGTCCAACAGTGCAATGATTGCGTGAGCACGGCTGCCTGGTGATAGCGGGAATTGACGATAAGCGTTTTTCAAGTCAAACGTAGTAAGCAAAGGTTCCCAAGCCCCGTTGATCCACAAAGGGTGGACACGGCCCACCAATGGCGGCCCGTCAGGCATCGCGAAAAAGAACTGATGCTCCGAAGTGCATGCCTGGGTCCAGCATCGGCAAATGGCAATGATTTCGTCAAGGGCGCGCAAGTCAATCTTATCGGCATACGAAAAAGAACCGTTGACTAGATTCTCCGAAAAATCATCAATAGGTCGAAGCTTCCTTTTTCCCGCTGAAGATTGTACAACCGGAAACCTCCTAACCGGGACCCAATGATCACCATGTCTGGCATGAACCTCTTCCTGCGTCAGAGGCCCTTCAAGAAGGTCGTCCGTCACTTCTTCCAAGGTCTTGTCCCAAAGTTCCTGAGAATGCTCGTTCAGACCCTCAGAGGCAACCTTGCCCAGAAGTGCCGGTCGCAAAAACTTGCTAGCACCAAGAAAATCCGCCTTGGTCCTCGCCTGTGGTCGCAACTCTCGCTTGAAGACCCCGGTGTGCTTCTGACTACCAACTAAGTCAAACCCTTCCAAGAGCTCGCTCAACCAATCCGTGTCAGGCCAGTCCATATCATCAGCAATACGCTTCAGGAGCAACAAGCGCTTGCCTCGAAGCACACGGCCAATGTCAGGGTCCAGCTTGCTTTTCATTTCTCCTTCGGCAATTTGCAGTTCTTTGGCCCAGCTAAGCCACAATTTCAACTTGGAGCACCGTTGTCGCTGAACCCATTCCGGACCTTTGGTCAAGGCCTCGAACAGTCGCCTTTTCACAATAGGTGACAGAACAGCCGAAGCAGCAAAAGGATGTAGCAAGTCTTTAGCCGCATCAACGAACTCATCTGGTGTGGCAAAGACTCCCAAAGAAAGGCGAAATTTCTTACTTTCGTTACCCGCATCGCCACCCGCATCACCCCTGACAAGAGACGTGGCGATGAGCTTGGATCCTGCTGGCACCTCGCCCAACGGACGTATGAGGCACTGCTTGTGGTTCACTGGCGGAACCTGATCGACATCCACCTGCAAGACCTTGCCGAACTCGGGCAGTAGCGAAGCTTCAGGCTTGCCTCGCTTCTGCTGGGCAACACCAACTGGCGTGGATGACAACGCCACGTCGGGGCAAGCCAAACCATGGTGCCGCGCAACGGCCTGAACGACATGTTTGCAGAATTCGGGCGGATGCGTGACGACTCCGCCTTCCACTTGGCTGTGGGAATGATCGCCTTTGCACAAGCAGTTCAAGGACCTTAGAGCCCTGCAATTGGTCCTAAGTTGGCGGCGAAGCTTAAGGGAAGACCCGAAAGTACAAAGATCGTAAACAACCTCAGAAGTTGAGGGCAATGCTTCCACATTGGGCAGATTCCAAAGCAGGCTGGCCTTAGGATGTTCCAAGGCCCAAGGTATTCCCCGTTTGTCTACGCTTTGCAAGAAAGTGCACAGGTGGTTGACCATGGAATCAGCCAACGCGAGCCGATCAACAACGTTGGAATCGGTGGCTCCCGAGGGGCTGGTGACCCCGTTGACTAAGTGCCTGAAAGCCTGCTGTGGTCCAAACGTGGCATAAGGTGGCTCAGCGTGGACATAAAGAACAGGGTAGGTTTCAAGAACTTCTTCAAGGTAGGTCCAACTCGACGCTTGCGCTAAATCAAGTGCACACAACTTGGACAAAGGGAGCCTATGCCCCCCACGATCCACCGGGAAAACCTCAAACCCGTGCTGTTTGAAAACCCTAGACAGGGCACCACTACGAGCAAACAATTCGATAACGATCCCTTGCACTGGACCCTTCGACGGATCGCCGACGTGCTGTGGCTCATATTCTTGTCTTTGCTCAAGAAGTGGCGGACTGCTGGTCCCATTCCTGAAGTCTGCAAAACACGCCTGCTCTGCCATCGGGTCGCCAGTGGCAGGGTACTGCGACGGAAGTGCAAACCCCAAGGATTGCAACACAACCTTTTCTGAGTCGTCAAGCTTCTCACCTCCTTGTACCGAGTATCCGATAAGGACTATTCGCCGGCCTTCCCAGCTCAGCGTGAGGTGCTTCTGAGCCCTGGCCTGAAATCTTACGGGACCTAACCCTAAATCCAAGGTGGTTCCCAGCAGCTCCTGGCCATCAACTGTCAAGCGCTCTTTGCCGTCATCGGATTGCACCCAAATCCCACCACCCGAAAACCGGTTTAGTGGAACAACTAAGTTTGGGATGAAGGCATTCTGGCTATCTGCATGCAATGCAGTCTGGTTGTCAACAGACAGCAACAAGGAAGTAAATTCATGCCCGGGATGGGCATGCCGCAGAATTCTCGCTAGTATCTTTGTCGTGCTTGGGAAAGCTTTGCAATTTCGCCGCAATCCTACCTTGACATGCACAAAAGCACCGCTATGGAATGCATTGCAAGAAATGTCATTGTTGCCCCGGCGTTCGCCGGTCAACTCGCCGTGTGGCAAGAGGCTAACGAGCTCTTCAATCTCCTCTGGAGTGGGCAACCTGTCAGCCTCAAGCAAATGTTGTGAAAGGATTTCGGCGGAGGCACCGCCGGATGCATCAACGCTCATACCCGTATCGGCTCTGGCCTGAAGCGAGGCGGAACCGAAAGGACCTGAGGCACCTAGTCAAGAACCTCCTGCTTTTGGACAGTTGCCGTAATAGTGCCCAGATTTCAGGCAGCCAGCACGGCAGCATATATGCAACCCTTTGTCGCACCTTCCTGATGTCACTCTGCGCTTGCATCTATTGAGATTATAATCCCAACAGATTGCGTACCCTTTAGGCGTGAAAGATAACCCTCCATCCGCAATCTCCTTAGGCATCGCAGCAGTGATGGCAGTGGTGTCTCGCTTTCCTTTGCCACCCTTATGACCTTTACCTCCCTTGCTATTTTTGCCATCGCCCTTGCGGGGTGTCCATGCGGGGTCGGGCCTTGGCACTGCTGCAAGAAGGGGTTGCATTAGGTGCGCCACATCTGGGTGATTACGAGCTGTCTCGAAGTGCGCATCACATGGCCTACCCGTCGCCTGAAGCTGTATTCCCTCTCGGGTGAGCTCGGCAAGTTTGATGAAGAATTGTCTGTCGGCATGGATGACCTGTTGCAAGGAAACGCGACTGTACCCTGTCGGAGGTTCTCGGAAGCGGCATGCGAGCAGTTGCTCAGTCCAGGCATCATGTAGTGTATAAGAGATGATTCCCGCTTGCTCCATCGCTAGGCCACGCCTAGTAAGAGCATACCGCATGAGCAAATCAGAGGAAATGTCTGCATCCATCTTGTTGTTCACCAAGCCTTTGAGTCGAACATTTCCCCCGCTTTCTACGACAAGATGCCGGTCCTCCTGGAGCGTGGCCTGCTTGATTTCGTCTTCCTTAGAGGTGCAGGCTGAAAGCTCAACGTAGACAAGCCGGTTTTCCTCATAGATCGCCACGCAACGATCCACAAGTCGATCAGACGGCTCAAGGGGGCCTCGGATATTTATCCCAGGCAAGCGTTTCTGTTGCTTGGCCAACCGGTCGGCTCTGTCGGGCTAAGCCAATCTCTTGACAGGCCCGTCCTCAACACGCTCCACTGACTGCTTCAACTCAGCCGAGGTGAGTGAGTAGGATTCATGGAACAAGCCTCGAAGTACTGACAATTCTCCCACGCTACCACTCCTACCCAGAAGAGTTGAAATGGACTCAAGAAAAGGCCCTTCATCCTGAGCACCAGGGGTGTATGAAGACGAAAAAGCAAACTTGGCCAATGTGTCAATACCCCCGTCGATGATCTTCTGCAGGACAGCCTCATCAAGCCCCAGCGCGATGGCCCTCGCACGGAAATTTGCGGTGGAATCGGTGACCGACATTGCAACGACTACACCCTCCACCTGCTCTGAGACGCACACTTGCTCGCGCGGTATTTACACTTCACCTCTGCAAACTGTTGCTCTACAGCACCTCTGCAAAAGTTTATCGCTTCTCTCGGCATTCCGCGCGGCACACATCACAGGACCCTGTATTTGTTGCATGCCGTAGCCTCGACGCTCAAACGAGACAAGACTTTGCGATCCATAATGACCCAAGTCACTGTTAAGCACGTCAACACAAAGTCTTGCCCCTCGCTAAGGGCCAATCGCCCCGGATCCAAGCGATCCTCTAGCGCTGCACTCATGTATCCAAGAAGGACTCTCACGATCCTTCAAGGCCATCAAAAGGTATTTTGCGATGCTGTGCCCAAAGTTCCAGCTCGGGCCCGAATCAGCCGACATGCGAGTGGAGGCACCAGCATTCACCCAACCCGAGCCCGCGCCAGCTCCTCTACCGGGTTGGATGTGGCAAACCCAAACCCACTCCGGTCCAGCCCGAACCAGCTCTTATCGGACCGGGTGGCACTTCTTGCACAAAGGATGCAAGAAGGAAACTCCACTGTCCATCTCAACGTAATTCGAAGAGATCTTTGTTCCACATGCAAAAGTGGCACCGGCCTCGTCGGCCACAAAATGAATGATCCTCGAGAGTTTGTGCCGGAACATACGGCGATCACTCGCAGCGCCCTGTGGCCTCCACGGGGCTCCAATTTCCTCCAGAGCCCGTTCCTCGGCTCCGAGATCGCCAACGTTGTCCTCTTCGTCCTGTGAATCTTCCGACTCACTCACTCCGCCGTTGGACTCATAGTCGGGAGGATCACCCTCTGTCTCTGCTGAGGGCGCAGCCACCTCACAAGGAAAATGTCCGCTCCGAGTGGCATCAGGCCTGAAACGATCCTCCCTGACTTCAACAAGGACTCTCTCCAGAGCTCGCACAGCACTCGAAATCTCATCACGAGAGTAAAGAATGACCATCGCAGCAGCTCGGTCGGTGTGGTAACCGAGGGTACGACGCACCGCTTGATCGATACCAAATTTACCGCACCAGCTGAGGGTAGTGCACTTACACGAATGAGTGCCCAATTTGGCGAGAGCCCCATGATCAAAACCTCCTTGGCTCAAAATGCCCTTAAGCCAGGACGCAGCTACAGTGGCACTCGGTGGAACGAGTAGCCATTCTCCCGAAGCTCCTGTACCAGGGAGCAGCGGCACACCGCTGCCCGTCGGCATCTTGTGAACCTCCCGGAGCTTCATCCACACTCCTGCCCAACCGAGTCCTGTGACACCTAAGCGTGGGCAGACCATGGGCAAAAGCATCGTCTTTCTCTCGGTCGTGAAAGACGTCTTTGATCGAAGCACCTCTCCTTCCAAGTATCCAGCCACCTCAGTGGCTAGACCACTCGGAGTGTCCAACTGCAAGTTTCCAAGGTTCATCCCGTCTGAAAAACGGGCTCGCATGAACACCAAGCAAAGAAAGAAACCCGGGCAGATTCGATCAATTGCCCTGGCAGTCGGATCACAAACAAGGTTCTCCAAGAAAGCTACCATAGCCACCGTGAGTGGCGGCCTCCGAGTCTTCTTGCGCTTTGCAAGGTAGGTGAGCCTCGCTATGCCAATCACCCGACCGCTGATCAAGCAATCGGCTCCACCTGTGACACCGAGGACGTGCACAGCGAAAGATATGGATACAATGAAGCTCCTCAAGAAAGTCGGGGCAGAAGAAAACTCGCAACCCTTGCAAAACTCGTATACCTGCCCCTCCTCAAGTGGGAAAGGATCCATGTCGGCCTGAACACTCCAGCGGATATACCTAAGCATCGGACCAGCCCTCTGATGCAGAGTACCAGCTGCCTTCCCAGCAAAAATGTGGCCGAGGCTTTCCAAGATGAGTGGTTCAAGTCTTTGCTCACCCCGAAGACGCCGGCCAATATCAAAGCTCAGAGGGGAGTGCATAATAATCACACCCCACTTCCTGATACCCGCGACCAGCTCTCGTTCCAGCTTGTACTCCCACGAAATCCCGTGCCAATGTTTAGCCATCTTCAATGGAGAGTCTCCCGAAACACCCGGTCTCTTGGCCTGACTGACGGACCCGGAAGATGCCGCTTCAGCTCGAGGTCCTGCTATCAGCGGCAACGGTCCCCTTGCAGCAGGGAGACGAAAAACTAAGTTCGTGGGCTCTCCGACTGTCTCCCACGTAGGTCTGAAAGACGACTGGTGACTCGATCTGATGCAAAAGGACAAGTGCGCATCAAGTGCAGCGGCATCCACAGGCACGTCTCCCATGTAGGCTCAAAAGGATGCCCTGATCTACTAAGAGAGTGCGCCTCCGAAGCCACCCTACGCTACAAAGAGTGCTCACGTAGCCGTCAAAATAAAAGATCTACCGAACTCAAGAGCGAGCCAAGTATGACCGGGTATTAAGTGCCACAGCAACTTTACACACACCCATGACCGAATGATCAGGCTTCTCACGGTAAAAAAGAAAATTATTAAGCCTAGATCAGCACTCGCAATAAAGCGTGAGTCAACATGAATGCACTCCCAAGAAAAAATGTCACACACGAACTTTTCTTATCCAAGCTACAAGCCATCCGGACCTCGGACACCCCATCCAACCTTCGAGGACGGCAGGGCACCCTTGCCCTTTGATCAAAACTACGGTGGGGTCCCAGGCGCTTCCGGATGCTCCATGAGCTCCACCGAAGGAGAGCCACTCCTGATCCATCTGCCGCGGTCAACGGGACCAAACGGCGTGCACGACCTAACAGCACCTCGTGTTAGGAGCACTAGAACCTTCTAGATGCACGCTACTGGCCCCAAGGCTTTCCACGGCTCTCTAACCGCACACCCCCGTCACGAACTTATGTCGAGACGGTTTGGCGGTCCCGCCCCCCCACCACTTGAGATGAATGTCACGGATAAGCCAAGCATTCAGAATGGCACGACACAAGAATTGGTCACACCAAAATACCGGTGCTTAGGGTGAGGTAAAGCACACGGGATAGGGATTAGGGTACCTTTTGGATTTTTGCAAGCTCGCCACATGTGGCTCGCCTCGCACGCAAAAAGGGGTTGGTAGACAAGTCTACAACTGATCTTTTTGCGAAGAAAAGAAAAGAGAAGGAACATTCACCAGTGTTTGAACCCCGAGTTCAAACACTGGTGTTCGAACCCCAAGTTCGAACACCAGTGTTCTAACCTCAAATTCAAATGCTGGTGTTCGAACACCAGTGTTCGAAAATTCGTCCTCTTGCGCGTATGTTCCGGCGCCAACCAAAAAGTGCAGTTCGTTGTTTTGAGAGAGCAACCAGCTGGTCAAAGTAAACTCGACCTGCCGGAGTTCTTTTTCCATTTTGCTGTGGTCCTTGGAATCTCTCTTCGAAGCAAGCGACCAAGCCGTGATTGGAGAGGATGGGGTGGCCGAGAGTCAGCAGGAAGGCATTTCTTGCCGGGTCTGATCTGGCTGCGGCTCAACTGTTCGTACCTTCGGGGTCTTCAGCTCTGCACCGAAGGCCATGAAGCTTCATAAAACCAAGGCAATCAGTCAGCAGAACAGTGCCGTGGATGACGGCAGATGCCTTTGGACCCAGATTCCATCTCGATATGCGCATTTTTTTGGCGTGCGGGCCTCTGTAACAGCAGCTACTGTGCTCGGTCCAAGATAATCAGCAAAGAAGAAGAAAAACTTCCAGACGACCTGACAATGATAAAAAAACACACAAACTGCCCCGCTTCCCGCAAATGGTGGGTCGTGCAATGGCATGCACTTCCCCAGACACGAACGCAAGAAGCCACATCTGTGGGCGCACAAGTGCAAGCCACCGCTGGGACAGAGGCCATCACGTCTCCTTCGGTGGATGACAGGACCCCTTCCCTCTAATGTGTCCGGCTTTTCCTGTGTGCCTGTTGGTAAACTCCATGCTGTTTCATTGACTTTGCTTTGGTTGCGATCTCAACATCGCTATTGTCATATCCAATTAGCAGATAGTGGCGATAGAACATGAATGATGCAGTTTTTGCTCCTTGATCACACGAAAGTACAAACATGTTCAAAAAATGCAAAACCAAGATACGTGGTTGGACTGCGGCCAGTTGAAGACCATGGAGTGGAAGCAAGTTTGGCTGCTGCAATACGTGCTTCCTACATAGGTTTTTGGAGGGGTGTTCGAACTCCAAGTTCGGGAACACAGAGTTCCGAACTTCGAGTTCAGGGCCCGAACACCAGTGTTCAAGGCCCTGAACTTCGAGTTCGAACACTACAGTTGCCTCCGAACTTCTGGTTCGAACTTCAACTTCCAGTTGAACTCCAAGTTGAACATTTCGAACTTCCAGTTCAACTCCAGTTCGAACACTTGGGAGGCCGGTGTTCGAGCACTGGTGTTCCAACGTTGGTGTTCCATAGGGTTCGAACACTAGTATTTGAACTCCGGGTTCGAACACTTCAAGCAAACTTTGGGCCTAGGGTTTCGAACATTAGTGTTTGAACTCCGTGGAGGCTGGTCCCCTCCCCCGCCGGGGTTTAACCCAGGTTTGAACCTGGGTTTGAACCTGGGTTCCCTCCCCCCGGGGGGGGGGGGAAACAACAACAACAACCCAGGGAACCCAGGTTTGAAACCTGGGTTTAACCTGGGTTTGAAGCTGGGTTTGAGCCTGAGTTAAACCTGGGTTCGAACCTGGGTTCAACCCCGGGTTAAACCCCAGGTTTAAACCCAGGTTACAACCCAGGTTTGAACCCAGGTTTGAAACCCAGGTTCTAACCCAGGTTTGGAACCCGGGTTTAATGAACCCAGGTTTAACCCAGGTTAAAACCCAGGTTAAACCCAGGTTCCAAACCCAGGATTGAAACCCAGGTTCTAACCCAGATGGGTTGAACCCAGGTTCGAACCCAGGTTAAACCCAGGTTTGAACCCAGGTTTGAAACCCAGGTTCTAACCCAGGTTTGGAACCCGGGTTTAATGAACCCAGGTTTAACCCAGGTTAAAACCCAGGTTAAACCCAGGTTCCAAACCCAGGTTGAAACCCAGGTTCTCACCCCGATTTGGAACCCGGGTTTAAAAACCCAGGTTTACACCCAGGTTATAAAAGGCAAGAGGCTGAGGAAGCCTTCTTCGACACGAAAGGAGTCGCCCACACGAAATCGCTTAAGGAGGGTTAAAGGCGAATAAAACAAGCAGAAACATGAAAATTCAGAGACACACTGAGGCCGACAAAATCGTTCAGCGGGGTCCGCGCAGAAAAGCTTAATGGACAGGCTGCGCCCCCCCCAACCCTTCCGCCAAAATTTACAAAAAGAACAGAGTTCAAAAGCAAGGAAATAAATGCCACGAAATCGCTTTGGGGGGCTTAAACGCAAATAAAAAGAATCGAAGACCTGAAAATGGAAGGGCTGCACCTCTAACCCCTTCCTTTTTGTGAAAAACTCCCCCGCCTTTGACGCCTCAACCCGGAATCTACTCCAAATCCAAACCAGCGAAAGTTACCAAAAAGAACGTGAACAGACGCCTTCTTCAACAGAGCAGATGCCACACGAAATCGCTTGAGGGACAAAAGGAACGAAATGGAACAGAAACATGAAAATTCAGAGACAGCGTCTGTTGTTCAAAAACTCAAATCCAGGTTGCCAAGCCAAATTTTACACACACTGTGGACCCAGGTTCAACCCAGGTTCCGTCTTCAAAATAGTTGTTCAAACCTGGGTTCGGCCTAAATTTTTAGAAGGGCTCAGCCAAAGGGTGGGACGGGTGCCCAACCCCTAAAAAGCGCAAAGCTCACGGCAAAACCTTATTTCCATCAATCTGGGTAGCGATAGTATTTCGCCCCCGTCACGATGATGTTGGAAGCTTTGCGGCGTGCAGCACAGCAAGACCTGCCTCTTGACCTGTGTGGCCCTAACCTTTGCGGCAGCGCGACCTGACCTCCAACCTACCTGCGTGCATGAACAAGCCCTCCTGACCTACCTCTGCGTCGAGTAAAAAGGTTTGGCCTTCGAACCTGTGGTCAAACTGCTAAGGCACAGGGGCCCGATCATGCTGCACAGGCAACTGAGCGGGTGACAAGGGTGGCTTTACCGGCAGGCCACGCCGAGCGTTGACTGCGTGAGTCTCGTCACCCAAGCAGAGAACCGTTCCAAAGCGGGCACAACCAACCCCGCAACCGCACAAGCAAACCTCCCCCCGTGTTGGAAACTTTGCGGCGTGCAGCACAGCAAGACCTGCCTCTTTTACAGCTGGCTGTAAGGCGAAACGTGGAAGGCATGTTCACAGTGCGTGTGCGCTCACAGATGGCGGGGGCATAGACAGACTGAACAGGTGACAAGGGTGCTTTACCGGCAGGCCACCACGCCGAGCGTTGACTGCATGAGTCTCGTCACCCTTACAGAAAACCTTGGCAAAACACGTACAACCAAGCCCACAACTGCACAAGCAAGCCTCTCTCCCCCGAAGCTCGCTTGGCGAGTGTTGGCCTCCCAGCTGGGGTTTCAGACTTTTGGCTATGACTCCCCCTCTGCAGGTTTTGGGATCTCCTACCTTTTGGCTATGCCAAGCACCACCGCTTCGGCTATCGGGTAGAAACCTGCTCTAAATCAACTAACCCTGTTCAGCGGCCTAAATTTTTAGAAGGACTCAGCCAGGTGGAACGGGTGTCCAACCCCTAAAAAGCGCAAAAACTTTTGGCAAAACCTTATTTCTATCAATCTCTATACATCTTTATTATGGTTGACAGTCCCTACAACAATCTAGAAGTATTTCGCCGTTACGACGATGTTTGGCTATGACTATCCCTCTGCAGGTTTTGGGATTCTACCCTTGGGCTATATCCAGCACCACCACTTCAGCTTACGGTAGAAATCTGCCCTGAATCCTAACCAACCCTGTACAGCTGTCTAAATTTTTTAGAAGGGCTTAGTCAAAGGCCAGACCGCAAACTCGGTTCGCATGCTTGCAATCCTAATGACAGTATGTCAACGGAAGCAGCTACGGCCTGGCGAAACAGCTTCCTAAAGGTTAACTGTTGTTGCAACAGGTCTTACAAGGGAGGCTCCTTGTGGTGCACTCGTTTTCGAAGGGTTTTCGGTCTTGAAAATGGGCCCGTCAAATTGGACAAAAGCTGAATGTCGAAAGAAGCTCCAGGAAAAGACGTTGTTTGGCAAAGAAATGCGGAAGACCTGCAAGCAGATACCGCAATTGGAGCAGCAAACCCAGCATTCCGTGTCGCGCTCTTGTTGTTCAACCGAGCTTAGCCATTGTATGGGGGGAAGGGGGTTAACAGAAAGATCCGCAGAA